CGGGGCGCGGAGCGGCCGGCCGGCGGTGGCCCCGGCCCGGGAGGCGACCCCGGACGTGGCCCGCCTGCAAAGGAGCGGGGGAGGGGAGGGGACGGGCGCGGCGGGCGCGCGGCCCCGGGGTTTAATCAGTAGCATCCAGCTTAGATTCCCCCAAACGGCGGTTCCATAAATCAAACTTCTCCTTAAGTCGGAGGCCAGCGCATATGCGTCCCATTAGGAGTCGGGCAAAGCCACCGCTGCCGACGCACCCCCTCGGCTCGCTGGGCCGGGCCGGGCCCTGCCGGGAGCTTCCCGGAGCCGGGCGGGCGCGCCAGGCCGCCTCCCGCGCGCGCGCTCCCTCCGCGCCGGCCTGGCCGGACACGGGGCGCGCTTCGGACTCCCGCGCGGGGCGCGCCCCTCCCTCCCTCCCAGGTGAGCAGCCGGACCGGCGGGTCCCGCCGCCCGACCCCGGGAAGGCGCTCTCGGGGGACGGCGGGGCACGGTCTGGTGGGGCGCGGCGCGCACGTGTGCGCCAGGGTGGGCGCGGGCAGCGCGGCGGGCGCGGCGCCCTCGAGTGGGGCACGGCCGCGCCGGCGCGTGGGCTGATCGCGGACGGTCCCCCCGGCCCGGGACTCGACTGCCCGCGGCTGGGACCTGCGCCGCCCGCGCGCTCCGCGGCCCTTGCGCTCGGCGCGCGAAGCCAGCCGGGGGGGGAAATCGGCGGTGGGGCCGCTGCGGAGCGCCCCTTCCCCGGCCCCGAGGCCGGCACCTCGCGCGGCCCCCGCCGCCCTTCAAGCCCGTGCGCCGCGCTGAGACCTCCAAGGCGACCCGCAGCCCCGCTCCCGCGCGCGCGGCCCCCGGCGCCCTCCCAGGGACCTGGCCGCGGAATTCCCCGCCGCCAGGCCGGGCTGGAGGCTCGCGGGGGCCGCCCGCCGCCCACCCGGCCCGCGGCCGCGGCACTCACAGGTAGCTGCCGCTGGACAGGATGAGAAAGAGCTGCGGGCAATAGACGGAGAGCAGCGCGCGGCGCGGCGACAGCAGGAGCATGGTGGGCGGGCGCGCGCCGTGGGCTGGGCAGACCCCTCGCGCCGGGCGCCTGGGCCAGCTGACGCCGGGGTCTCCGGGCCCCCCAGCTAGGGCGGCGGCCCCGGGCGCTAGGGCCCCGGGCGCGCGGGCCCCGGCGCAGTGGTCGCCAGCGCCCCGCCACCAGGGCCGCGCATCGCGCTGGGACCGCGGCGGGGCTGGGCCGGCGCGGGGCGGGCGCGGGCAGGGGGCAGCGGGCGCGCGTCGGCCGATGTCTGGCGCTGCGTCCGTCGATCGGTCGGAACCGGCACTGTCGCTCGCTCTGGCTCGAGCCTCCAAGTCTCCCGAGGCGCGCGGCTGCCATTGGACGGGCCGCCCCTACATCCGCCTCCTCCGCGGGCGGGTTTTTTAAAGGGGAGGCTGACCGGAGCGTGCGACTGCAGCCACCCCCAGAACTCGCCCGACTGCCCGGGCCGGGAGCCCACCCCCATGTCAGCAGCCTCGCCGCTCTGCCGGCCCGGAGGGTGCACCTGGGCGGGGGTGGCGGCCACCGCGGGGTGACGGCGCGGAGGTGGGTGAGCTCCGCTTGGGGGCTGTGCCCCGAGTGCCCCGAGTGCGCGCTCATGTGTGCCTGCGTGTGCCTGCGTGTGCCTGCGTGTGCCTGCGTGTGCCTGCGGAAGCATGGGCACGTCCGAGAGGGCGCAGGTGTGTGCGCCCAGATGCGCGGTGCGCTGCCGCCGCCCCTGGCTCCGTGAGGACGGCCTGGGTCTCCGGCGCGCGTGGCCTCAGCCGGCCAGGTGCACCCCCGCAGTGCTTACCTGTGCACATGCGCACTGGCATCTCAGCGGAACAGGACTCAGCATCTCGCTGGAGAGGTTGATGGTGGGAAAACACCCCCAATAGGAGCTTGGAGCCACCCCCCAACTCTGGTTTCCCCACCTCACTTTTTTGCTCTTCTTTGAGGAGTTGGGTGGGTGGGTGCGGGAGGCGCAGGTCCACGCAGACACCCTTTTTTGAACCATTGTCCTGCCGGTGATTTTTTAAAGCCCAGAAACAGGTTTTGAGGGCCCCCTCCTGCTCTCTGCCCCTCCGGGGGACATATGACTGTCGCACTAAGGGCGTGGGGGCTGGGGCGGTGCGGACTCTGCAGATGGCCGTCGGCCGGGCAAGCACATCTCCTTGCCTCTAGACCTGCCTGGAGACTCCCCGGCAACATCTGTGCTGTGGGGTGCCTCCTCTGCCTTCACCCCCTCCCTGAAATGGGGCCCTCTGTCCCTCCTGGCCTCCAGGGCAGGGGCAGGCTCGAAGAGGGCTGGTCCTAGACTCTGCAGCCCAGTGCTCTTGGGCGGAGTGGGGGGCTCTGGCTGCTGCCCCCGTCTGGCCTCCCCTGGGGCGGGGTGTGCAGGGCCTCGAACCCCACGGCCATTTGCTTAGAAAGTACTCAGAATCCAAGTACCTCTGTTCTTGGGATCCTGACCCCTGAGGGGCTTCAAGGAAGTGCCCTCCATTCCTGCTGGTCCAGGTGCTCCCCCAGGGGCTGCCCAGATGCACTCGAACCCAACTCTGGGGCACACGCGGCCGTGGGCCGGGAACAGCGACCACAGAGGCTCCCGCGCGTACCATCTGAGTTTGAAATCCCAGGGCTCGCGGGGGCCCCTGCGGAAGGAGCCCCGGAGCGCTCAGTGGCTGTGACACCAGCCATCAGCAAGAGGAGAGGCCGACAGGAACACGGCCCAGGGCTGAGGCCCAGGAATAACCTTCCCTGGGGAGGCGGGCCGGCGAGGCTGAGGGAGGATGGACGCAGACAGCACACTCGCCCCCCAGCCCGGTCCCCAATGCACTGGGCCCCCAGGTCATTTTGCCCTCGGGATGATATCTGAGCCCAGCTGCCCCCTCCTTCCTGCCCGTGCAGTCAAGGCAGCTGGCAGGAGAGCCGTGCCCTTTGCTGCAGCCCAGCGGGCAGAGGCTGTGGCGGTGCAGGACCTTCCAACCCTCACCCCCTCCCCCAGACCCCTCAGCAGACCCTGCAATGACCTACCTCCCTGCAGGTAGGTCCAGTGGGGTGTCCAGAGACTGCATTTCCTCCTCCCCCTCCCTCAGGAATAAGCATGTGTTTTGGGGGGCCTGTGGGGGAGCAGGTCCCCCCTCCAGGACTCCTGGGCAGGGGCAGAGGGCAGAGGCTGGCGGCTGCCTGGTTCTGACCCACAGGCAGGGAGAGGCTGGCACAGGTGTCTGGGCACACAGACTGGGCTCGCTGGGCATCCTCTCCCTGTGGCCACAGGCCATCCCCCTGCTGGGGACAGGCGGCGCGGAGTCGGGGTTACAGAGGGAAGAGCGGCCTGGGCGGAGCAGGGACGGACCTGCCCACGGTCACGGAGACCTCCCAGCCCGGAACCGGCCCTGCGAGCCCAGGCTGGGCACCCGCCTTGCCTCCCTCTGCTGCCCGGGAGTGGGAGGTGGAGACGGTTCATGGAGCTCTGCCCACTACTGGGGGGGGGAGGCACTCACTCCTGGTGGGGACTCGGTGCTGGAAGAGGGGTCCGTGGAGGACACCAGGGCCAGCTCCAGCCCAGGCTCTGCCACTCACTCCGTGGACAAGCGACTTGGCCCCGCGCTCGTGCCTAACCCTTAGCCGAGGGAGAGCACTGAACTCTGGGCCTCCGGGAGGAGCGAGCTGAGACCAGGCTGGAGCCGGAGCCTCCCAGGAGCGAGCGACCCATTAGGGGACACAGGGTGCTGCGGGTGCAGGGGCAGGGGTGCTGGCGAGCAGAGCAGAGCGCCTCCCTTCCACCCCCACCCCACCCCAGCCCCAGGAGAGCACGGCAGGCGCCCTCGCCTCCCGTAAGCAAACACCCGGGGACAGGGCTGCGCAGACCCACAGCAAACAGCCGCCAGCGACGCGCCGCCGGCCTGCTGGGCCGAGCCGGGACCGCTTCCTGCCGGCGGCCGCGCCCACCCTCCTGGTCCCTGCCCGGCCTCTGCCTCTCCATCTGTTCAGCGGCCGAGGGGGCGGCGGGCGGCGGGCGGCGGCCAGGGGATCCTCCACTCCTGCGTCCACGGGCCTCCCAGGGGCTCCCGGGGTCTGGCCTGCGGCCACCCCACCGCCCGCCTCCTGGTGGCCGCCGGCACCCAGTAGGGCGCAGGGCCGGGGGCTGGGGCGGGCTGCGCGGGAGGGGCGCCGCCCGGCTCCTGGTCAGGCGGACCCCCCACCCCCACCCGCAGGGCGGCCGAGACAGATTTCGTCTAAAGGAGATCGCAGCTCAACAGGTAAGGACTCGGCTGGCTTCAGGAATGTGGAAATACGACTCGGAGCAGCTACTGCAGCGAGCAGCGAGCACGGCCGCCGGGCGCCCGCCCGCCCGCCCGCCCGCCCGCCCGCCGGGCCTCGCCAGGGGGAGCGCGGCGAGGGGGCCGGGCCGGGCCGGCGGGCGGAGGCGCGGTGCCCGCACCGAGCCTGAGGCGGCTGCGCCGGCGGCGCGGCCCATCCCGAGCCAGCCGGACGAGTTGTCAAGGTAATTTCAACACGTCGGGGTGATGGATAGAGACGGTGGGCCGCGCGGCCCCGGCCGGCCGCTCTGCGCCCGGGGCGCGCCCCCCGCCCGCCCCCCCCGTCGCCCCCCGGACGCTCCCGGCCGCCCCCCGGCCGCCCCCCGCCCCGGCCGCCCCCCGCCCCGGCCGCCCCCCGCCCCCGCCCGGCGCGCCCTCCCGGCTGCAGCCTCTGCCCGGGCGCGGCGCCCAGCGCAGCCCAGCCGGGGGAGGGCAGGCGCTCCCGCCCCGGGGCCTGGAGCCCAAACAGGTGAAAGTGGGGGCCGGGCACGCTCGCCGCTACCCCCGGCGTCCGCGCTCCCGCCTCCTGCCCGGGCCGGCGCCCCGCCCCCCGCGGACCCCGAGTTCCTGCGCTCGGGGCCTCGGCGGCGGGCGCGGGTCGCTCCTCGGCCGGCCCGGGCCCCGGAGCCGCCTGCAGCCCCGGCCCGCGGCCCGGCGCCCCCCGCACTCACCCGAGCTTCACGTAGAGGACCCCGAAGCAGAGGAACACGTAGAAGAGCCACTTGCGAAAGTTTCTGTGCATGATCCAGCGCGGGGGGCTGCGCCATAGACAGCGGCGGCCGGGGGTGCGCGCGCCGGCGGCCGGCGGGGCTCGGCGACCGGGGCTCAGCCGGCGCGGCGGCCGGGCCGACGGGCGACGCGCGGGCACCGGGCGCGCGCCGCCACCATGGTGAGCCCGAGGCCCGCGCCGCGTGCGCCGGGGCGCTGACCGCGCGGGGGCCGCGACCTCGGGGCCGGGCCGGGCGGCCGCGGGGCCCCCGAGCGCCGGCGGGGCCCGGGGCGCGCGGCTGCGGGCAGGCACGGCCTCCGCGGGGCGCAGCCGCCTGGGCCCGCGCGCGCCTCGCCGATCGCCGCGCGGCCAATGTGTCCGCACTTGTCGGCCTCCCCAGGTGACTCGGGCCTCCGCGCGCCGGAGCCGCCAGCGAGCGCGCCCCAGGTGGAGGGCCCGCCTCCCGCCCGCCCTCCTGGCTCGCCCCGCGCGCCGCTCGCTCCCCGCTCCCTCCCCCCGCCCTCCCCCGCGACACTCGGGCGCATCCGCCGCCCTCCGGTCCCCATCCCCTCCCGGGCGCGCGGCGGGGAGGGGCGCGGGCGCGCGGCGGGGGGGCCGCGGGGGAGGGCGCGGCCGGAGAGACACCTGCGCGGCCGCCGCTCCTCGGCGCCCGGGGCGGGAGGGGCCGGCCCTGGGGGACGCGCTCGGGGCCAGCGGGGTTCCAGCTTCTCCTGGTGGGGGCGGGAGAGACCCCCCCCCCGCCCCCGCCACCCTGGGCCTGCTTCCCGGCCCCCCGGGGACCTTCAACTTGGGGTCCTCCTGGCCCATCCAGGCATCGCCGCCTCCCTGGCCTCAGTGGCCCCGCTGTGCCCGGCTCAGGTCTCTCCCGCCAGCACTGCTACCAGCAGCGGGGCAGGGGAGGGACAGACAGACAGGTCTGACCAGATGCGGGGATGGCTCCCATGGCGGGGTGGGGGCCACTTGGCTGAGCACCACCATGGGGAGAGTTGGACACATAAGGGGGGGTTCTCTGGCCTGGGGGAGGCTCCAGGCAGCAGGCTCCCTACTTCCCCTGCGCCATTCCTGCGCTCTGGGGCCAGTATCCGTGGGGTCAGCACCCCGTGCCAGCCGCCGCTGCACACAGTCTGCCCCGACTCAGTGCCCGGTCAGTGCGCAGCAGGCCCTGAAGACCCCGCCGCCAGGACGCCCGCCTCCCCGGGGCAGGTCCGTGGCCAGCAGCCTAACCACGGACCTGACCAGGCTCTGGTCCTGCTGCCGGGGTTCACAGCGCAGGACACCTTTGAACTGTCAGTCTTGAGCGAATGCATGGAATTGGGAACCCCGGGGCCGGGCAGGCCCCAGCGGGCAAGGGTGGGAGTGAACACAGGGGTGGGGAGGGGACGCTGCTTCCCCCCTCCTTGCCCACATGGCCAGGCCAGAGGGGTCCGGCGCTCAGAGCCTGCCCCCTCCGTTCCCTGCGGTCTTCCTGGAACCCCTGCATCTGCTCCCTTAACCCTTCCAAACCCCCGAACCTTGGCCATGACAGGGGCACCGGCCAGTCCCTCCCCCCAGCCCCCATCAGAGGCCTCGCTGCAGCTGCAGAGGCTCCCAGGGGGCGGCTCCCAGATGAAGAGGACGTGGGACACCAGCCCGGGCTCCGAGACGGAGGCCCAGGAAAGAAGAAATGGAAATGGGAGGCTCGCCCCTGCCCAGGCCCCGCGCCCCAGCTTGGAGGGGGGGTGTCCAGCTCACAGACCTGGAAGCTGAGCCCCGGACACTGGGTCAAAGCAGCTAAGGGCGGGGAGCCCCGGGAGGAGCTCAGGCGCACGGGCAGATGCTGCCACCCCGTGGCGATGCTGGGCCACTGGCTGCAGGGCTGGGGTGTTGGCACAGGGCCCCTCTGCAGGGGCGCACGACAGATGGTGTCCCCATCCCTGGCAGAGTTCGAAGACACCCTGCCCCCCACCAGCCTGTCTCGCGTCCATTATGGCAGAAGAGGTCAGGAGCCGTGGCCTGGGCTGTGCTTAATGACGAACACTGCAGGGGCGGGACGGTGCCCCCCAGGCCCCCCACGGCCCAGGCCCCCACAACGCACCCCTGTCCGCTCCCTGCCAGGGGTCAGGGTGGCTCCTGGGCCAGCCAGTGGAGTGGGGTGGGCAGAGATAAGGCTCTGCCCAGCGAGAGGAGCCCCGAGGGGCTTGGATCCCCGACTCCACCGCCTCTGGGGCCGGCCTTTCCCAGGACCCGCGGGGGAAGAGCCCGGCCTCGGGGGCCAGGGACGGCGCCCTGCTGCCCCCTGCCGGCCCCGGGGGACGCGCCGCCGCGAGGGAGGTTCGCTGGGCCAGGGAGACAGCGACCCCGGCCAGGCGTGTCTCAGGGGGGCTCTGAACCCCTCCAAGGTTGGGGGAGCTCGCGGGGTGGGGGGAGTCCGATGGAGGCGTGACCTCGTGCAGGGGTGCGCAAGGGCGGGGCGGCGGGCGCGGAGCTGGAGGCTGCTGGGGACCCCGCGCCTATGCCCAGCGCAGGCCTCCGGAGGGTGACCCCGCAGGCACCCCACACACACCGACGGGGTCGCAGCCGAAGGCGAGGTCACTCGTGCACCCTGAGGAGGACGTGTCTGGCTCCAAGGCCCCTCAGGGCTGGGGTGGGGCAGGGCGGGGAGAGAAGCGCCGAGGGCGCTGCTGTCGGGCACGGGCTCTGCTCTCCCGCCTCTTCGGGGACCTGCCCCTGTCCAGAGGGCTGACGTGTCCAGAGTCAGGGCACCCCAGGGCCTCTGAGGGGGCTCCAGGGGTGTCCAGCCACTTCCTGTCCTGCTCGACCTGGCGTTGCTCTCAGACCCCGCCTGGGCTTCCTCCTCGCCCCCCAGGGAAGGCGCAGCCCGGCCGCCCCGCGGGCAAGTCCTCCGCCGCCAACCATCCAGGTGGCGCCCAGCACGGGGCCAGGCCGCGCGGCGTGCGGGGTCCCCGCCCTGGTCCTCCAGGCCTGAGCCGGCTGCCTTTGGCGTGGCTGAGCAGGGTGAGCCAGGCGTCTGCCCCCCTTGTCTGACCAGGCTCCCTCCACTGACCCCCATTTCCTGGGACAGTTGAGGGGCACTAATAGGGCCGCCCTAAGCAGGTGGGAGGAGTTCCTGGGCCTCTATTTGACTCTCCTTGAAGGGGGGCAGGGCCCAGTGGGCATGGCTGAGCCCCCGCCCTGGCCACCGCCTGGCAGGCCACGGGATACCCTCTGCGGCCTGGTCCGCTCCCTCTTCTCTACGCAACAGGCTCCTCTCAAGACCCTCCCTTCTCCTCCAGAGCAGCAGCCTCCATGAGACTCTGCCTTCTTTGTGTATGGAGAGCTTCCTGGAGGAGGTGACCTGCACGACATTAAGATATGGAAGAACATAACCCCTTTGGGGGAGGCGAGGCCATTCCGTGTGACTGAGCGCAAGGTGGGGAAGGAGCCTGACCCCGAAGCCCTACCCAAGGATTCCGGGCCTGGCCGTGAGGACAGTGGGAGCCACGGCAGGTTCTGTACAGGGAGCAGCAGGGTCACGTGGGGGCCCTGGCCTGGGCGCCTCTCTAACTGGGCCCTGGGCCGCCGCTGACCCATGTCTGCTCCCAGGGCCCAGAGGCGAGCTGAGGAAGGGTTTGGTGGGTGGGTGAGGGCGAGTGGCCAGCTGGCTGGATGGGTAGAGGGACAGTGGACGCTACAGGCGAATGAGGACGGTAGGCAGGCAGGGTGCCCTCTGCCCTCTGGCCATGACAACCCCGCTTCTCCGTGGGCCGGGTGTGGATCTACAGGTGGGCGGGTAGAAGGCTCGACGAGTGGGTGGTGGGCCAGGACTCAGCAAACTTTTCCTGGAAAGGGCTAGAGAGTAAACAGCCGTGTGCTCTCTGTCACACGCTCTTCTTTGATCTATTGATTTTTTTTTACGACTCTCAACAAAGTGAAATCCACTCTTAGCTTGGGGATTTGGCCCTGACCGTAGCTTGCTGGCCTCGTGTCATCCGCACCTTTCCTTTGCAAATGACAGAAGCCAGGTTGGAGGTCACAAAAGGGGGAACCATTGGTTCACATAACCGAAGAGTTCAAGGGCATCGCAGCTTCAGGCATAGCTGGATCCAGGATCAAATGAAAGTACTGTGAGTTCTCTCTCCCCTGCCATGGGCTCTGCTTCCTGAGGATTCGTGCTCGGGCAGCCCTGTCGGCACCCTGGCCCCTCGCAGCTTCAGGCTCTGTCTTGCAGCTGGACAAGCAATGGGAGGACAGAGCTTCTTCGGCCAGGTCCCAGCCAGGGTCCAAGATGGACCGTCATGACCTCTGCTGGCTCTGGCTGGGCCCGTCCCGGTGGCGGGAGAGGAAGCACTGTCCGGCGGTACAGGATCCTGAAACCCAGGTTGGAGGCCTTCTCACGCCAGTTGCGCAGGCTGAGAAAGGGAGAGCCGTGCTCCATCGGAAAAATGGGGGCGCTCCTACCAGAAAGGGGGTGACCTGACCCACCCAGTCATCCCCTGGCGCCGTGCCATCCACGCCGCACTGTGACTGTCCCCAGCTGACGCACAGCCGGCCTCCCCCCTCAGATGCTCTCCCCACACAGCAGCCCGCGTGCGAGAGCAAGCGCCAAGCAGCAGAGCTTTACAGATCAACGTGTTTATCATTCTCCCCGCCGAAGCAGGAGGCTGTCAGCCGCCCAGGACGGGCGCCAAGACCCTGCCTGTCTTCAGGGTCCCGGCTCCCGCCGGCTTTTCCTTCCGCCTCGGAGTGGCTGCCGGAGCGCCACCATCACGCCCGCCGTCCCGGCTGCGAAGTGGAAGCCGCACACACGCCTCTCCCGCCCCGGGACACCCCACTCGTCTCGCACTGGTCAGAACTGGGTCCAGGGAGATCGGGAAAAGTGCTCTTCGCTGAGGGTGCGGTGCCCAGCTGACCCTGGGGTTCTGTCACGGAGTGGGGGGGGTGGATGTGGGGGCACACGACCACAGTTCTCCCCACCTCGCCATCTGCCCAGAGGTCCCTGGCCCGGATCCCCGCCTGGCCGGTGGCTGGCTCAGGCCCTCCCCAGGAGCAGAACGGCTCCCGGCCCGCGCCTGCTTCCGGAAAGCTTGTGCTGAAGGAAGAGGGGGGCAGGTGTGACCACCCTTCCCACCCGCAGCCAACCCCGCTCATAAGAGGGTATCGGGGAGGATCCCGCCAAGCTGGCCCGTCGTCCGGCGCGGCGCTTTCCTGTCCCGCGTCCTCAGCGATGGACGTCGTGCGTCCCCCACGCCTCTTGAGCAAGCGTGTGCTCCACACGGGACAGACTCACCTGCTCCCCGGCCACTCAGCAGTGACTGCCCTTGGGGGGCGGGGGGGGCACCCATCTCCGGACCAGACCTGGAGTCAAGT